AGCAAAGTCATCTTAACTGTTTGAGCCCCAGTTACACAGCTAACCTGTTATGAGTCATCAGCTCTTCCATAATGGAATGAAATCCATGTGTGTGCTGTAGAAAAATCCACACCTGCTCTCACAAATACATAAAGATTTAGTTACAACTTCTTGAAATACATAGTTCTGCCTAAAATGCATCTATTGGGTCCTCAGGAGTTTAAAAGACGTGAGGATAAGAAGCCCTAAGACAATCAAATCCACTTTAGTGCAGCCAGCAATGATAACATTTATGAACTCATGTAGATGTGAACATTCAGAAGAGTCCTTTGAAATCTCAAAGATCTTTCTAACATTATTTGCAGGCAGTTGACAAGTCTAAATTCCTATACATTTCAAGACATACAGGAAAGGAGAGTCATCTTGTGTAGAGCCTGTTCAGGGTTTGTTCAGAGTATTACTGTAGGACACGCTTCTTAAGTCACACAAGTGTGAGGAAGAACCACCCGAGGTATGGGTATCAGTGATGATGAAATTCCAATCAGGCCATTGTACCTGAGGGGAGATGGTTGGAAGCAGGCCCTTTCTGACCAGATGCTCCTTGATTTTCTGCACTTGGGCTCTGGTTTGGAGTATACCCCAAGTATTTATCTCTATCCATTAGGATCCTTTAATGCAGAATTGGGCAAGTGAATATTATTTATCAGTGATATTATAAACAACATTTATTGAGCACATGTTTGCCAGGCACTTTCTTGGGTGCTTTATGCTCTAAGAGGGGACGTAATAATTATTCTTGTTGTATAAATGGATAAATTTATATCCGTTTGGAGTCAATGGTAGATGAGCAAAGACTCCACCAGGGCTGCCTGAATCAAAGCCCATCCTCTCCAAATGATGCCATTTGTACACACTAAACATTTGTCATGGCTGTAGATCTCTACCTGCATTGTACACCGTGAGGTTCTGAAAGTGACATCCTATTCTTTGGCTACAGAACTAACTGGGGGAGGATAGCCTCAATTCTTGTGCAGGCCATTATCTACTGACTCTTGGGTATTCCATGCTTGGCTTGATGTTCCTGTTTCAGATTCAAATGCTGTGGTTATTTGAATGAGATGTCCCCTATAATCTTGGGCATTTGACTATTTGGTTCCCAGTTGCTGGTGCTGGCTGGGAAGTCTATGGAGGTGTGACCTTGATCGAGGAAGTATGTCACTGGGGGCAAGCTTTGGGAGTTTAAAGACTCGTGCTGTTTTGAATTCATTTTCTCTGGTTCATGCTTGCTGTTCAAGCTGAGAGCTTCCTCCTCCTGCTACCATGCTTTTGCTTGCCATCATGGATTCTAAGCCCCTGGGACCATAGACCCAAATGAACTCTTCCTTCTGTAAGTTTTCTTAGTCATGATGTTTTATCACAGCTATACAAAATTGGCTAATGCATCTAACCATTTGGTTAGATCCTTTGGAGTCTAACTCATTTCTCATTAACTCGCCTACTCAAGCCTGCTCAGGTGTCCAGTTTTGTGAGACAAAAGCTTGCTGTGTAACCCCAGCTGGACTTGAATCAATGATCATCCTTTCTTAGCTGAGATCATATGCATGCTCTCTGACACCTGGCTTAGGATCTTACTCAAGAGCTCTGACCTCTCTCTCATGTGCCTTGAGTGATCACTGGCCTAGAGTGGACCTGTCTTCTTAGCAATACAAATGCTTTGTATCATGGCCTCTCTCTCTATTCTCTACACTCCATTTTGTCTTTCTGGAATTCCCTTCCCTTCTCTTCCCTCCCTCCCCCTCAAGCACACACATACACTATCACTCCTATTCATTTATTTAGTGCGCGCGCGCGCGCGTGTGTGTGTGTGTGTGTGTGTGTGTGTGTGTGTGTGTGTGTGTGTGTAGATGAGCATGCTACTGTGTGTGTGATGGTCAGAGGGCAACTTATAGGCATTGGTTCTCTCCTTTTTACCATGTAATTCCTGGAGGCCACCATACTTCGTGGCAGGCACCTTTACTTGCTGAGCCATCTCACCAGCCATGGACCTCTCTTTTCTGGCCAACTGTGCCTGTGATCTTAGGTTGTGGTCATCAGAAGGCCTCCCTTCCTGTTTCTGTTTTCTCAAGAAGGGGCCTTTTTTTTGGATGGCATCAGAACTGAACCCACTCTTCCTTTATTGGCATCTTTGGTGTGTTTTCATTAACTAGTCTGTGTCATCAGGCAAGCAGAGGAGGTGGTTAGTAGCACGATCCATTCATTCATGACAGATTTATCAAGTTCCTATTTAAGATCCAGGCAGTGTGCTGAGTGCTGGAGTTGCCATGGTGACCAAGATAGAACTTTCTCCTGCTTTCATAGTTTATTGCTTCGGAATGAATCACACAAAAAGAGGCACTTGCAATACAATTTGATAAAGATTCTGAGGCAATATCAAGTATCTTGAGAATACATCAAAGGAGCCACCTACTCCATGTTTGAAGGGCTAAGACAGATTACCTGGAGGAGGTAAGACCGAAGACTTGAAGGATGACTGGAAGAAATAGAAGAGGTTGGTAGTCAGGGAGTGCGAAGAAAGGGGCAGTTTGAGAAAGATGTGAGGTCTACAAGCAAAGAAAGCATCTGATCCACAGTGAGTTCAGAATATCAGAAGCAGAGATTAGGTAGGGTGAGAACAGACGCGATATTGCAGCTGGTTTATGGGAGTACAAGTCCGAGTGTCACATGGCAGCTGCATGCCTGCTCGGTTCCCTGTGTTCTCACAAGCTAAGTTACTACAGCTTGAATGCACAATGGCAGAAGATGGGGCTAAGGGGTCGGTGGTACAGAGTGCTCCCATAAAATAGAGATGATCAATAAGCTCAGAGCCTTTTGGTCCTGGGCAGCCACCACCCATGCAGTCACAAAGACTGAAGCAGCCGAGTCCCTTCTTCTCCTAGGTAGAATTCCTGAGGCTCAAGACACGCTGGTGTCAAAAGTGTTCTCCTTCCCACGTGAATACACTTAGCCAACATTGCCTCTGCTGCAGCTACATCCCACTGCCTGCCATGGGCACTATTTCCACTCGAAACAAAGCTGGGGCTTGCAGAGTCACCAGCGCCCCATAGGGTGCTGGTGGTTATCCCCCATTGGTGCAAATGGAGACACTGAGGCTCAATGACATCCAACCACTTGTCACAAGCCACCAAGCTGTAAGTGGCAAGGTGGAACTGGGGCCTGGGCTGATCCCAAAGTGATTGTAACAACACAACAGCTTCTTCTCTGCCGCCATTGCGTTCTTTTGAAGAACCCTGAGCTCTGATCTGTCATGTTCTTACTGGCAGCCTCTTTTTCACACGAATGTTTCTTTAGCATTCTCTCCTGTATCTCAGGCTGAGTTTGACCTGCCTAAGCAGCCTAGAATGACCTTGAACTTCTGACCCTACTCCTCCCACTTTCCAAGTGCTGTGATGGCAGATGTGCACCACCATGGCCACTTTATGTGGTGATGGGAATGAAACCCAGGGCAGCCTACCAACTGAGCTACACTGCCCCAGCGCCTCATTGATCCTTGTTTTGACGATGTTTCCCAAAGGTTGGATTTTGGGAGTGTATCTCTAAGAGTCTCCCATCCTCAACAGGCAGGATTCAGTCCAGACACCCTGAACTTTTGTACGTGTTAAATGAACAAGAGCTTGCCCCATCTGACCACATCCCCAAGATCTGAGATGGCTTTCCATTCCTCATGTTCATTAATGAAACAAGAGCTCTTTCCGATGTTGGCTGGTCCTTCTCTCTTCTCCTCAGAAGAACTGGTGATGTCTCATGCAGTGATCTTTAGGCAGTCCTTGGCATCCAAAATGAGGGCAGCAGGAGAGGGTCCCGCCTTTCTACCCAGACTTGCCCTGTACGCTGTTTCTCGTTTCCTTTCATTTTTCCCACTTGCCTTACCGCTTTAACATCAACATCCATGCGCAAGGCTATAGGGTTTTCGGACCCTCCGCTCCCTGCTGCCTCTCCTCCCAAACACCCAGCAACAAGTCTGGTGGGTGCCAGCGGTAGAAATGGATGTGTTCCCCAGCTAAGCCTCAGACGTAGGTCTTAATTAAATGCCTCTCCATTAGAGGCTTAGCTCTCCTTGCAGTCAGATGGCCCTGGCTCTGCATTCCTGACAGTGTTCCGGATGCTCTCACCAATTACTCGTCTCCTTCCTGGCAGCAAATAGAAAAAGCAATTTTCAAATTGTTTCCATTAAAACAGATCATTTTCTCAGAAATATCACTTGAAAAAAATGGATGGGGTGGGCATGGAATTATTTCCAGTTAAGACAGTCATGGGATTTTCTAGAAAAAAGTTGGTTCTCGCAGGGGTCACTATATAGTTTAGAGTCCACAGATATGAGTAATTACACTAACTCCACCTTTACTAACCGTGCGAAGAGGGCGAGTCACTTTATTTTTGTCCACCATTTGTAAGATCTCAGTACTGAGAGCTGCTACAAGGAGTGGTATCCTGTGACCTGGGAGGTTCCGTTATTACCATTTTAAAAGTCATTTTCAAGAGGGGCTGGAGAGAGGCTCAGTGGTTAAGGGCACATACTTCTCTTGCAGAGGACAGGAGTTTAATTCCCAGCATCCACATTAGGTGGTTCATAACGGCCTGTAACTCCAGCTCCAGGGAATCCGACACCTCTGGACTCCATGGGCACCTGGATTCACATTCACAAACTATCACACACACACACACACACACACACACACACACACACACACACACACACACACACAATGAAAACTAAGTAAATGTTAAAACTGTTATCAAGAGAACCATCTACCTGTCTGTCCTCAGGGTAATCTGATATATTTTTGTTTCCCAGGAGCCTCTTTTTCCCTATGAAAGGCCAGTCTTCAAAGGTTGGATGTGTTATTGCTTTCATAAGTGTTGTGGATCTCACTTCTTATAAATGTCTGATAAAATGAAAACCTGAAGAGACTGTGGCCGGCATTTTAGCCTTCTTCACTCAGATAACTACATTCTCATTACAGAACGATGAAGTGGAATTTGTCCGAACTGGCTATGGGAAGGATATGGTCAAAGTGCTCCATATTCAGAGGGATGGAAAGTACCACAGCATCAAAGAGGTGGCAGCTTCGGTGCAGCTGACTCTGAGATCCAAAAAGGATTACCTCCATGGTGATAACTCTGACATCATCCCTACAGACACCATCAAGAACACAGTGCATGTCCTGGCAAAGCTCAAAGGGGTATAATCATTCTTCATGCTAGCTGCTTCTCGATGCAAATCAGCGCATGCTCGCCTGGGGGGGGCACTCGCTTATTTTAAGCTCTCATTTCCTTTTAACCTATTTTTACATATGTGCCATTTTTAAATTTTTCCCTTCTTCCCTAAAATTCTCAGGCTTACAGAAATACTTGTTTCATTTTAGTCGTTTCATTTACCTTGTTAGTTAGGGAGAAAAATTCCTGGGCAAATTAACTTATAGGCCCAGGGAGGATTTCAGACTAAATGAACACATTTCTTGTGCTTTATTACCTCGAGACTGTGCATTTGTAGTAGAAAGGGCCATTGTTGTATGGTAAATGAGAATATCGATTTTAGAATACTCTCCAAATTGGCAAAATCCACTGCCCCAAATTTTGTGCCCCAATTTAGATTCCTGATTGTTGTGACAAAATACCCCACACTCCAGGGCCTGGGGAGCACCCGAAGGAAGGGTTTGTTTTGGCTTGTGGCTTGGGGTTATAGTCCATGGTTCTCCACCTTCCTAATGCTGTGACCCTTCAAAAAAGTTCCTAATGTTGTGTTGACCCCAACCATAACATTATTTTGGTTGTTACTTCATAACTGTAATTTTGCTACTTCTGAATTGTAATGTAAATATCTGTATTTTCCAGTGGTTTTAGGTGACCCCAAAAGGGTCGAGATCCACAGGTTGAGAACCGCTGGTATAATCCATCACCATAGGGAAGTCTTGCCAACAGGCATGTAGAAAGTTAGTCATCCCCTATCTGTGGTCAGGAAGCAGAGAAGTGAATGCTGGTGTTCAGCTTGCTTTTACCTTTTCATTTATTCTGGGACTCCAGGAGGTGGGATGGGCACACCCACATTCAGGGTGAGTATTCCCCTTGTGGCTCAAACAGACACACCTAAAGACTGACTTTCCTGGGGAACACTGGAGCCCATTTGCAAACCTCATGGAAAGCCTCCCCCTCCCCCCAGTATTACAAGCACATCGAGAAAATATTCTGGACGTAAGTTACGTCTTGTTTATCTGCCAATGTCTCCTTTTCTGCAAAGCAGGTTTCTTTTAAACACGGGACGGTGCTGGAGATGAGGTTCATCAGTCAGGAGACTGGCTGGTCTTCCAGAGAACACTAGTCGCATTTCTAGCACCCACATGGTGGCTCACAACCACCTGTAATGCCAGTCAGTTCCACGGGGTCTCACACCTTCTTCTAGTCTCCATGTCACCAGATATGAACACGGTACACAGACATGTATGAAGGCAAGACAACCATACATATAAAATCAAAGTAACAAAAATATTGAAAAATAACAAATAACAAGACAGAGTTTCCTAGGTGATGGAAATCTATGGGCCACACCCAGGAAGGGTAGAGGAAACTCAGGACTGGACTGTTTCATCTCCGGAGATTCTAAGTCTGCTTCTCTCATTGGAAGAGACAAGCGATGGGTGAAGAGCCCCTGTGATGTTCAGCAATCCCTTCTGGCTGTGTTTGGCAGTGCTTTCCTGTGATCACAGCCCATGGGAGGCAGGTCAGAAGGACTGCCAGGAGCTTGATGCTCTCCTGGGCGACTCAGAGAAGCCTTATCATAAACAAACAAACAGAACAAACAAACACTGCAAGTCAGATATAGGGGTTTATAATCTCAAAATGAGGTATAGACAGAAAGATCGTGAGTTCAAGATCAGACCGAGCCGTGTAGTCAGTGAGCCACTCTCTCAAAATAAAGGAAACTATCAAATCAGCCTAAATGTTTTAAATGAGACATTTTGACCGACCTCTCTTTCTTTCTCTCTCTCTTTCTTTCTTTTTCAGATAAAAAGCATAGAGACGTTTGCTATGCACATCTGTGAGCACTTCCTTTCTTCTTTTAACCATGTCACCCGAGCCCACGTCTACGTGGAAGAGGCCCCCTGGAAGCGTTTTGAAAAGGTTTCATCATTTATGCTCCCAGTTTAATGAAAGAAATTGCTATCGTGGTTTGTGCTGGAATGTGACTGGAAACAACTTGGTCTTCTCTTGCAGAATGGACTCAAGCATGTCCATGCTTTCATTCACACCCCCACCGGGACACACTTCTGTGAGGTGGAGCAGATGAGAAGTGGTAAGGAACCATTTTCCATGTTTTTAGTTTGCAAGAGACATCGGGTGTCTCTTGTTGATGTCTTTGATTTTCTGGCCCATAGCAATTCTTTTTATTAACACAGACGAAGACTGTAGAGAATTTGTAAACCTTTTAAATCTGAGACTGAACTGAACATGGTGACTTTGGATTTTACATTACAAGGCTATCTGCCTTTTGCTGAAGGGTAACCAAGGGCATGATTCTTTCGATTACAAAAGCTGGATTCTGAGTGGTGGAAATTTTGTACTACCCAGTTTTGAAGTGAAACAGGAAAAAAAAAAAGAATAAAGGCTGGACATGATAAGAATGCGAATTTGCTAATTCTCTGACCAACATTTTTGGTACAGTATCATGAGATAATGATAGTAACCCAATATTTGAAATTACTAAGTCTCCCTGACATTTTATTTGCATAATAAAATACTAATAGTATCATAATCTCTTTAAAAATGAGTCTCAGTTAAAATAGCAACGACTATTACATAATTGTGTTTAGCAAGAAATTTAAAATTTAAATCTAACTATGAAACACTATTATAGTATAGACCTTATTAGTACCAATAATTAATCTGAGCAAATAAAGTCTCCAAAGCTGGTGTTCCACTTATTTATTGAGGTCATCAGAAGCAGAATTAAGTAATCCATTCAGATTATTTAATCTCTTTGAAGCAGAGAACTTTGGAGCATAGAGCCGAAGACAGCAGAAACAGTCATCTCAGTAAGAGACGCTGCAGTGGTCATTATGGAGTCAGGGTTGCCTTTGAACTTTTCCTGTTTCTGTTTCTTTCCTTCCTTCTTCATCCCTCAATGTTTCTAACTATTTGAATTAAGCCTAGATATAGCTAAGTCTGTCTCAATGTTTGAATAACATGTCTACAATTATTTATAGAAGAAATTGAAAAGTTGTTGTATTAAACTGAAAAGACTATTTTGATCACCACATGCTTAGTCATGTGGTAAAAGTCCCTCACTGAGCTGTTATCTAAAACAGCTCAGACTGTCCTCCACCTTATCTTCCCTCCCTGCCTTCTTTTCTTTTTCCTCATTCTGAGTCTCCTTCCTCCTTCCTTTCCTTATATATGATCTTAGATGCAATAAAGAGAAACATATCATGGCCAACATTTTCTTCTTAAGCCACACTGACTACTCTCATGAAATTAGAAAGTCTAAGCCAATTCTACTTAACTTTATATGTAATTTTAAAGTTTTTTAGTAGTCACTTTAGGAAATCAAAGAGAAACAAAGAAAAATATTTGAATAAAAGATTTAGCTTAATCCAAAATACTATTTATAAAATAAATACTAATTAAATAAATTTCACTCTTTGAAATAGCATGTCTCCAAATCATGTAGATATCCTGCATTAACAGTACACCTTGAGTCATGTTAGGTAATTTCAAATGCAGACTGATAACAGGTGTCTGGAGGTCACTGTATTGGTCAGCCTAGCTCCCAGCTGTTTTTCAGAGACGTCTGGGAACTTAGCACACTCTTTATCCTATTGTTTATCAAATTTTCAAGACTAGAAATGACTGGAAGTAGACTTGAGCAGAGCTGATTCAAACTAAAGGCATTTATGGAAATGTCATTCATTTCAAAGTGCTGGGATCATTCATTCACACACGATTTACTAAGCAAGTAGACTTTGAAGACTAATTACATGCACAAAAGATGGTAGGTGAGGAGATGCACAGAATTTTTCCGAATCTCAGAGAATCTCAGATTTCATTATTGGGGATATACTTGTAAACAAATTCATTGCAACATGAAAGGCTAAAAGCCACAGTTGAGAAATGAGAGGCATTGTCATGGAACAGAGACATCCCAAAACTGAACTCTTCCCAGGGCAATGTAAAAGGCTTTGGCAGGAGAGGAATTTTGGAGAGGAAATGTTTCCATTGACTTTGTAAAACGATTTGCATGATGCTGGTCATGAAAGAGGAAGGGTCTGCCTGGAGAAGCAGCGGGACTTAGAGAGGCAGGATGCAGAAAAGAGTGGAAGAGGTGGGCTAGGGAATTCTGAGCTCCCACCTCATGCTGGGCCCACACTCGACGGATATTTATTTAATTGTTCAACGGGCAAAACATTTGTAGAGCAGGACTAAGTTCAGTGGGTCCGATTCCTTGGGCACTGCTGAGGGGCCTCCTGTGCTGAACTAACATGCATAGTCTAACTTAAAGGCAGTTTGCATAATAAACCACAGAACACATTATAATTCCTATCAAATGAATCTCTAGTTAAGGTCAGAGAGGCCTTGTGGTCACAATAAGCTGTGTTTGAACTTGAGCTCCACTAGTTAATAGCATGATTATGAGCAAGTGAGTTACAGTTCTTCAGTAGGTTTTCATTGGCAGGATGAGGATTCTGAGGCCCACCTCTACAGTTTTCCAAAGAAATAAAGGAGATGATTGCTAAATTAATTTTATTAAAGCTGTAGGCATACTACCTGGCATATAGGAACTTCTTAAATAGTAGCCATAACTATTATTTAGTTTGACAACAGAAAAGCAGAGGTCTCTAATGGTCAAGTGACTGAATAAGTTTGTGTGTGTGTGTGTGTGTGTGTGTGTGTGTGTGTGTGTGTGTGTGTAAATCTGTAAGGTCTTTGTCAGACATTCATTTTGAATGTTTGCTTCCCAACAGCTGGGGCTATTTGGGGAGCCTCTGGCATATTTTAGAGGTGGGAGCTCGCTGGCAGAAGTGGGTGGCTAGCTCTTGGTTCTGACTTGCTCTTTGGTTCCTGGTCTGCTGCTATACACACAGCTTCTTCCACTCGCCTCGGCCACCATGAACTTCTCTGTTCTGCCACGCTTCCCCTGCCATCATGGGCTGAAACCCCGAGACAGCTGAGCCCAAATAAAGCTGTGGGTACACTTTATTCATCAGTTCTAGAGGAGATGGACAGACTGGCAGCTTGCTGTCAGTCCTTTGGGAGGCCTTTGTGAAATGTGACCAGTGAATCAGTGGTTGAGTAGAGTTGAAGGTTGAAGGGAAGGAGCTATAAAAGTTGGATTTAAAGTGGAAGGAGTGGGACCAGAGAGAATATACACATGAATAAAGTTTGGAGGATAAAGACAATGAGTTTTGAAATATGGAGTGGGAGATAAATTTGGGGACCATCAACACATGAACGATAGGTGAATGAAGGGAGGGAAACAGTTCCAGAAAACAGAAATAACATATAAAGCATATTGGCCAGGTTCTGTAAAGGAACAAAACTGGTAGAATAAATATGTATATATCAAAAGGTAATTTAATAGATTGGCTTACCGGATATGGTCCAGGTAGTTCAGCAATTGCAGTCTCACACTAGAGAGCCTAGGAATCCTGTAGTTCATTGCTTAGTCTGTAAGGTTGCATGTCTCAGCAGCCCAACCTAGCTCTGAAGACTTGGAGGGTTCCTGGAGAGCTGCTGGTCTTCAGTCTATGTTGGAAGCTCCAAGAACCTTGTTCTAATACTGGTGAAAGAATGCCTTGGTCATAGCGTAGTTGCATTTGCCAACAACAAGAGTGAAGGCAAGCAATCAAAAAGCAAAAGTTTCCACCAGTATGTGCTGCCAACATTTAGGGTGGGTCTTCCTGCTTCAAATGATCTGATCAAGACAGTTGCTCACAGGAGTGCCTGGCAGCTTGTGTTTTAGTTGTTTCCAGATGCAGTCCAGTTGACAACCAAGACTAGCCATCAAAGTGAGAAAAGGGGAGGTAAGAGAGCCCAGGGAAGTTAGTTTAAGACTTTGGCAGAAGGCTGGCTGAAGAGACAGAAGAAGGAGGTGGAAGAGGGAGGAGTCTGGAGAAAGTGGTGTCACAGAAGTAGAAAAGAGCTATGTTTTCATTAGGGATAGTTACAGAGGAAGCAAGAAGCACTGCAAAGAGACCCACATGTAATGGCTCAGCACCAGGGCTTCTTCCTACAAGCCTGGTTTGTTGTTGGGGTAGAGGTGATGTAGCTCAGCAGTAGGGAAGTTAGACAGAATCCTAGGCAACCTTTCCTTATCACTTCCTATGTTGGGGGTTCACCTTGATAATCAATTTCCATGTCATGTAAGTAGGGGATGTAAAGACATTGAAGGAGAAAAAGAGGACAAGACCCCTCAGACAGGTCCTAAAAGGCCTATAGCACTTCTCCTGGCAAGACTCACAGTCATGCCTGACTGTGGGAGACCATAAAAATGTGGTCTCATGGGGTGTCCAAGGAGATGATGAAATCGATTTGGTATCTGCCACAGAAAGGTTAAGAGATCTAGGTTAAAAGATAGCTGAAGAGGAACTCTGGAGTCGGTAAACATCCTTAGTGATTTCTATGAAGATATTTTCAGGCCGGGGGAGTGGATTAGGAAGTTATCAGTCACTAAGTCCAGGACACTGCTGATGATCAAACAGAACAGAATTCTCTTACCACCTGAGTGCCAGGAGTTAGTATCTGCCTGAGTTCTGATCACAAGGCTGCTGCTCCCTAAGTTCTAACCACATGGTCCACGCTGCACAGTAGAAAGAGCAGCCTCAGAAGCAGTTCAAGTCTTTTGTCTTTGCAGACGGCTACAACGCTTCTGGGAACAGACAACCCTGTGGCAGTTTGCCCAGACGCTTCAATTGAGCGATCTGAGCTCATGCGGCTCTGATGTCCTACAGAGCTAGCAGGGCTGGGGGAAGGGGACGGCTGTGCAGTAAGCGGATTCAGGTTCCCATGTGCACTGGACGTAGCCCGTGTGCACACACAGGGCTCTTCATGGGAAACCATGTGTATGCACAGAGGTGCATACACACACACACACACACACACACACACACACACACACACACCCTAATACTTATGAAAAAGAGAAGAAAGAAGCAATGTCCTTGTGTAAATTTAACTGAGAAAATTAATCATTAACTCATATCCTCCACCTTACATAGTGAAGGCCGGTGTTACAAACCTCTGTGGTTTGTTGGGGGCTTGCTAGAATAATGAGAACTCTCCCTCCCCAGCACATGTCCTTGGTCACACACTCATCCATGTAAATCCCCAAAGGGACCCTCCTCAAGAGGATGAGCGAGTTCCACCTGGTGGACTGAACTCCCTCCTGTTGACCTGAACTGTCTGGGAAGGTTGCTGAGTCTTGGATGCCATGGATCCTGGCGTTGCTCTAAGATTGTTTACATTGTTCCTTCTTGGTAGCTCCTTTACAGACACCTCATTATGTTTAAGGATTTCAAAGTCTGCTGGTTCCTTGAGAGAATCTGGAGGAGAGAGAGATTTGTTCACCTGTAGGGTCAAAGGCTGCCCTGCTGTTGGTGACGTCCCACATCACGACAGGAGAAGTAGACTCTGCATGATTGATGCAGGCAGGCTACTGTTTAGGTGCCTTTGAACCTCCTGAATGCTTTCTCTTCTAGACCCAGAGGCTTAGCTGAACCTGGATATCACTGTGGTGACTGAGTCACTAATCTGAACTAAATTAATCCCTAAACCTCTGCAATATTTGAACTAAAATTCACAATTATTTCAGCATTCGGTGGCTTCCGTTCTGACTCTAACTAAAAAACAAAGCAAAGCAAAACAACAACAAAAGTGCACCGGCTGCAGCAAAGCTACACAGAGAGATGGAGGATGAAAGAGGTCGCAAGTAAGGATACTGTATTGTGACGGCGGAAAAGAAAGCCCTCCCACTTGCTGATGTGAAGGTTACTGGCAGGTGGAGCCAAGCAATGAAGCCAATGAAATAAACCCCAGAGGCAGACCTGCAGGTTTAAGGGATGGCAGTCTAGATCGATGGCAGAAGTAAGGGGTCAAGTGAGAGGCCACTCTAAGACAGCTGCTTTCACCCCTAGACACCTGGACTGAAGGCTTTTGGTCTTTCCATAAGAGAAGTTCTTGGCAGACACAAGGTCCTAAAATCACCTCCTCCCTCATCGCCCAGTCACACTAAAGTCAAGTTAGCCCTCTGCCTGGTGATGCCATCTCTTCTGTCCCACCCCCCAGTTGCACAGCCTGGGCTTTGAAGACCCTTGGGGGAGCAGAAGGATCAACAGAGGCAAACACTACTTAGTTGATCTTTGCTTTTCTCTAGCCTTTTACAAGTTCGCGGTTTCATAGTAGAGTGATTTAATACAGTTTTAAAGCATCCCCCCCTTTTAGCTATTTTTGTCCGTTTTTGGAGGCGTTAACTGTGGAAGCAATTATCCTCTTCATAACAGGAATTTTTTCCCCTCTCAGCTCAGCAAAGCTTTGTGCTTTCTTGACACCTGATGCGTAGGTAAGGAATTGGTCTTGTTTTCTATTAATTCTCAGTGAGTTTCTTTCCCTTAGAGTACTAAAGGGTAGATGCATGCTTCTCCGAGAGATAAACCACCATTTGCTGAGTGTGTAGGAGGACACTGGGAGCTGAAGAGACTGTGTCGTAGCAATGTAAAATGGTAAAAATCTTCCTGCTGCATTACCCCATGATCACGGCGGGGAGACACGGGTTGATTAAATCCTTTCACGGATGGACACCGAGAAGGACACTGCTTCTGGTTGAATTACTTCTTGTGGATCTAAATTGGGATCTTTTTAGAGTGTGTGTGGAAGCATATTTTTAGTCGGTGGCCCCATGGATGTGAAAGCCCGAGGTTTTTACCAGTGCTCAGTAGGCTGGGGCACTGCCAACAGAGAAGATAAAATAAGCGCTCTGACTTCATCCAGTATGTGTAACGTGTGCCAAGGAGAAAAAATTCTTTCAAAATTCAGAGAGGATAGTTTTTGTTGATTCTGTTCACAGAGTGATGGAGGGCATCAGAGTATTGGCTTCTGCTCTGACAAAATGGGGAACAGTTAATTGTCCGTGAGAACAGAAGACATTTATTCTGTGGGAATCTGTTGCCAAACCACATTTAAAAATGCAAGGGCTTTCTCTGTTTCCAGAGTCTAGTAAGAAAATAAATCATTTCAAGGTGGCCAGCCAGGGCTGTCACTCTGAAAGGTCTACACATGTTACTCCAGGACCGGGGGAACACAGGATGAAGGGCTTTGGTTTCACGGTCCGGTGAGCCTGTAGCGCACAGGAAGCTCAGGATGACAGGTGGTTAGCGTTGGTGTGGAAAAGCCAGCTGTGGAAAGACCACTGTGGGGACTTCCTCAGAGCATTTTGGATCCAGCGGCTGTTCTATGAAACCCTCAGGTGCCTTACCTTAGGCACAACTCAAAGATGAGAAAATCAAAACAGGAAGAGGTGAAGTGATTCCTCCAGGGACACAGTTTTTGTGCAGTGGGAGAGTGGTATGGTAGGAAGGGCACTGGGACGTGAATTTCGGGAACTCTGAATGCCAATGCTGGGGATTCTAGATACGCAATACCACACTACACACAACACAACGCCACCCTTTTCCCAGTAAGATTGTGGGAGGAGCCAAAGCTTGATGGACAAGGCAGATGCTGGGGTGAAAGGCAGCCGCACTGGAAAACACAGAGACCTTTAGTCCGTTTCCGTCACCTTTTCATTCACCTTCAAAGGACTCTGCTCTTTGTTGTAGCTCTGGGCCGCTGTCTCCTGTTTCATTTCTTTGAGATTCTGTTTTCCAGAAGGAGAGACGGGGGATGCATTCTAGATACTAGTTTGTAATGATTAGAGTCGCTCTTTAATGGGAACTCATAGGAAATTTGTCCTTCTAAAGATTTATTTATTTTTCTCCTTTTAAAATTCTGTGTATTGTACGTGTCTGTATTGAGTATGTGCATATGAGTGCAGGTACCCACGGAGTCCAGAAGCATCAAATCCCTCCGGAGCTGGGATTACAGGTAGTTGTGAGCCAACCACGGGTGCTGGGAACTGAACTTGGGTCCTCTGCCACAGCAACCACTGTTCTTAGTGGCTGAGCTACCTCCGCAGTCCCTGTAACAATTTAATGAATAAAATACCTTCAAGATGCGCAGGAGCCATTTCAGAAAGTGATGCCTCACTTTCATCAGATGATGGAGACGCTTTTCAAGGCGGAGGCCCCCAAAGCTCACTGTGGATGGGTGGTGCTACCCTCCGGTCTCCTGAAACGCCCTCTTGAAGTACTGAGATGAGGCAAAGGAGCCTAAGGAAGGAGAAACAGTGCACAGATGGAGGAATGCTCTAAAAGGAGGGCAGAAAAACATGGAATCTCGTGGTGTGCTGCTGAATTTAAACCCACCTCTGCCCATTTCTTTTTTTTTCTGTGTGATGATGAGCACAGAAATGAAAGCCTCCTGCATGAAAACATTTCCTCTGGAGACTTCTGAGGACTAAGTAAGAAAATGCCTTGGAAAGGCATCAGGCAAAAGCTTACACACTGGACAGTGCCCGCCAAAGCTTTCCTTTCCTTTACCACCCGGGGTGTGTGGGAAGGCAAAAGGTAACGCTGGAGGAAGTCAACTGTCCCGGCAAAGAAGAGACTCCACTGGGGTGCTCTTGCTCCTTGACACAAATGTGGTTCTCTTGGGTTCGAGACAGACACACAGCAGTGAAACACTGAGTTTGTGGGACCAGTCCCCTTATAAATGTAGCATCTGGGCTGAGAATACAGTGTGGTGGCAGAGCACCTGCCTAGCGTACCAAAGACCCTGGGTGATTCAGTACCCGGGACCAAAAGGAGAAGAACAAAAATAAAATTAGACAAACCTGGGCAGCTGAAGGCATTAAGGCGCTGCTGGCAGCTTCCTCTTGGTCTTTCTTCAAGTACAGCATCCAATGAGAACTTCTGAAAGTTTTTCTGTCGTTTGGTTTATCCTAGGACATTCTATACAGAACGCTTTATTTAATCAGAACATACTGAATCAGCAGATCTAGCACTAACCTCTGGCCACTGCTTTCTCTGATGGAAGGACTCGTGTAGCTTTGCAAATATCAAAATATAGGCATTGCTTATCGGGCTCTGGAGAGTCACAGCTGCCGATGCCGCACACACAGGTGATAAGGAAGCGCACAGGGTTTTGAAGAGCTCGCTGGTGCCTCTTGACCCTTCTTGCTATACAGCCCCATATGTAGCTCAGGCTGGTTTCTAACCCATGGCTTGTCCTGCCTCAGCCTCGCAAAGATTGAAGTTATACATGTGGGCTTCTATGCCTGGCCCTTGGGTTTTAATTGTGGACTGTGAATTATCCTCTCCTTTTACTAAGAACATACAGTGATGCCCAGGAACTCTGACCTTTGACTTTTAGACTAGACAGGCCATGAAGGACAGCTATTTGTCAGGACCAACTTAGAGGTAGAAAGGAAGTATCCTTAAGAATCCCGCTATGGGACTTCAGGGATTTTCCAAATGCTCCCTAAATGTCCTCTGTCCTCACCAGCCCGTGCACACAAACAAGGACATGGTGATGTTCATTACTGAACTTTTGTGGTGCTATAGATTTCTCAGTACTAAACTTTCAGGTGTCCATCCAAACTCCCTCCACATGTGAGAGCTTGCCCAGGCTGCCTTGCTCATGCTCACAGTCTGCACCCACGGGGGACAAGTGTGGTCTCAGGACTCCGCCTGGATTTTATTGTCAGCTGCCACATCTCCTGGGAAGAAACTCCCTTCTTGTCGAGTCCCAGGGTGTCAGTGCCATGGTCTGTCTAGCCCACTACACTGCTGGCCACAGTTTGTTTAACACGTAAAGATAAAGAATGTCCCCTCCCTAGTTCTGTGCAAACCCTCCATCATCTGGGTCCTCGCATTGGTCAGATGTGTTAGTGAGAACCCGCAGTAAGTCACTGGTGCATTTAGGAAAAGGAGTCCAGAGCTTCCTCCTGGAGCAGTTGTACGAAGAGCAAGCCCCGATCTGAATTCCCTACTTCTCTCTCCTCGTGACTTCTGTCCTCTCCCCTTTTCTGCTGTGTGAGTCTGAATCTGTGCCTGCCCGCCTTGTCAACCTGTCTGTCCATGTGTCCCTAACAAAGGGCTTTTACTGTGTATTTATTGAGCAGCATGGGATGAATGGCGTGGGGAAGGGATGAGGCTGCTTTTCAGAAATCTTTAGCAGAGTTTCGTAGGGAGTGAGACTCTGCTGACCCCAGCTGACCCAGATAACTGACAAACTGTTATCAAGCAGTACCTGTATGCTGCTTTCAATATTTATGGCTGACTGCTATTTCATAAGGCAGCTCTTGTTCTATTTGCTGTTTTCAGCAAGTGATAGTCATAACACACGTGTACTGTTCTCTGAGTTGGGGCATAAGCCTAATTTCAGATTAAAGCTTAGGTTGTAGAAGTTGATGACCTGGGAAATCCAGGGCAAGTAAGGTTGGTCGTTACACTTTTTTTAAAAATTAAAGGCAGGTTAAACAAACAGGCTGAGTACACAGTAGGATAGCAGTCTTAAGTCTTGAGTGACCTCAAGGTGCATTATTAACTCTGGCTATGATGAGGTCCAGCAGAAGTTCCAGTCTCTTAGAATGTAAGAGATGTTTCTGTAATACATATTGCCACAGGCCCTGAGCTAGCACTGCTTGGCGCACAGTAAGTGGCATCTTCCAAATGGGCCCATCACCTCCCACCACCTATTGTCTTTGAGGGGACAGCCGAGAGAGAAGGTGGCAGATCATCCCCTTCATCATTTTTATCCCTTCCCCAACCCCTGGACCCATGAAGCAGCTTCAGCCCGAAGCCAGAAGTCTCTATGAATATCAACTATCCAGGTCAGTGCCTGCACCAGCAGCCATATCTTCCCGCTCTTTGTTTGGTCTCAGTCAGGTCACACTATTACTCACTTGAGAGGTTGTCTGGTCTTGGCTGAGCTTATACCCACCAGGGCATCAAGTGTTCTCAGGGTATAGTGATAACTGAAGTCACCAGCCACTGTAGACCAACCAGAGGACACATTGCAGGCAAGGGATCTCAGTGGCAGAGAGAAGACATACTCCTGAGGATCTCATATATTCATGTCAGAACCATTGCTGTTTGAGTGACATGCACCCTGTGTTATGTAAGATGATTTGGCTGAGACACCCTCACCGGTGCCTGGGAGGAAGTCATTCAGCATGGATAGATATATCCTTGGATCTTCTATCTTCCTTGGGCAGGAGAGGGCAGAGAGTCTGCAAATCCATAGAGAAGGAATGTGTGAGTGTGTGTGTGTGTGTGTGTGTGGTGTGTGTGTGTGTGTGTGTGTGTGTGTGTGTGTGTGTGTGTGTCTGTGGCCAGGATTTTCGCTGCTGTTGTAGCTATCAGTAAAAAGACACTGCTTCTGTGCTCATGCTCTCCTCACCCTTCTGCCTGAAACAGGACCTCCAGTCATTCACTCTGGAATCAAAGACCTCAAGGTCTTGAAAACAACCCAGTCTGGATTTGAAGGATTCATCAAGGACCAGTTTACCACTCTCCCCGAGGTGAAGGACCGATGCTTTGCGACTCAAGTGTATTGCAAGTGGCGTTACCAGAGAAGGGACGTGGACTTTGAGGCTACATGGTATGACAAGCGAGCATGGGATCGAGAGCTGGGCCAGGTTAATGGAGTTTGGGATCAAAGAAGAAACTTAGCGACCAGTCAACTCAACTTCCTAGTTCTTCGGGAACCCCCCATCCCTGTGTGGTCTGTGTGTGTGTGGGTGGGTGGGTGTGGATATGTAAGTATGCATGCACTTGTTTGCACTTTCATGTGGAGGCCAGAGAACAACTTCACGCGGTGTTTCTCACGAGTTATCCACCTCAGTTTTTGTGACAGTCCCTTATGGGGACCTGAGACTTACTTATTAGGCTAGGCTTGCTGGCTACCCCAGGGTCTTCATTCTCCTCAGTGCTGGGGTTAAGTATGCAGCATAATTTACAGCTTTTAATGTGGGTGCTGGAGATGGAACTTAGATCGCTATGTTCAGTTGAACGCTGTCTTCCCAGGCCCTCTTTTTCAAATTTTATCAGTGGCTCTCAGTCATTAGTGTACAGTGGAATTACTCAGGACGTTATTAGAATAAAGGTCACTGGGCTCGCTCCTAGGCCCCTGGGGGGATTTGTATTGCCAACAACACCCCAGGTGACATTTCTGCTGCTGGACTCCATCAAATAAAGATAACATGCAGCCTTTCTAGCTACGTAGAGAGCCTGAACTAAGCTTCCAAACCCTCTCAGCTTGCCAGAGACTTTCTCAGTTTCAATAGCTGAAACTTTCATGTCCCAGGAAACCCCCTTGGTTTTGGGAAAATGATGACAATTGGAAACCCACAGACCAAGCTCCGTTCTCCGATATTCATATAAGTACTTTTGTAAGTGGGACTGAGGAGAGTGTTCTTTAAGTAAAGTGTTCGCATTGCAAGCACGGGGCTCCGCATCTGAGCATCAGAACTCTCACATAAAAGCCGAGCATCATGGTGTGCACTTGTAACCCAGCACTGGGGAGATGGAGCCAGACGGTTTTCTGCAGCTCACTGACAGCTAGCCTGGCTGAATCAGTGGCAAACTCCAGTAAACATCAGAGACCCGGTCTTAAAGAATAAGAAAATGGAGAGCAATTGACAAAGACACGTGAGGTTGACCTCTGTGCTTCATACAGACACATACACACATGCGTGTGCCTGCACACATGAATATGCACACAGACACACACACAGACACAGGCACACACATAGGCACATAGACACACAAACAGACACAGTCACACAGGCACACACAGACATACAAATACACAGAAACACACACAGTCACACACATAGGCACACACACAAAGACACACACAGGCACACAGGCACACAGAGACACACACTGTCACACACAGACAGACACACACAGGTACACACACACACACACACATGCGCGCGCGCACGAGCGCACGCCCGCGCACACACACATACACACACACACACAGAGTAAATGACAAATGCTTGAAGTGTGTAAAGGTGTGAGTTTTCTAATATCTCTGGCAAGTAACAAGCAGACTTCTGAACCCTCAGAGCCTTGACTATGGGTCTCATCCCTTTGCTGAACCGCTAATTGTTAGACATTTCTACCCAAGGATGAGCTGAAATCTGCTCCTTCTGCTACAAAGCATCCTCCCCCTGGTAGTTTTTATCTGCTCTTTTTCTTATTTGAGAGGCTTTTAAATGCTTGAGAAAGTACCTCAGCCTAGTCCTCTTTCCCCTTGCTTACTTCAAGTGCTCTCCCTGGGTAGCTGGGGCCTACTGTGTTGATGTTGAGGAGACATCAGATTGAGTGTGTCAAGCAGGGGAGAGCTCCAGGCCTCCCACTGACAAAGGTCTCAGAGAGAAGGTTTCAGTTGTGAGCTCAGATTCCTCTTTAAATGGGGGATAACCATGGCACTGCCTCAGCTGTATTAAAGACTCGCTGATTTTAATCCCAGAAGGTGTCTGGCTTACAGAATGGCACTAAGACTCGGAGGCGATAGTTCAGGGACGCAGGCCTGCAAAGCAGGGAGAGCGTTTGTGTTTGGAAGTCTCCTTCCACAGACACATGCACGGTAGAAGATGGACACTGAAATGCTGTTTGTCCTTGGAACCACTCTGTGAGAAGAGGCAGATGCTTAGTGTCTGTTTAATGCCGTGTGCGAGTGTGTGTGTGTGTGTGTGTGTGTGTGTGTGTGTGTGTGTGCATGTGCGCGCGCGAGAGAGACAGAGACAGAGATTGAGAGAGAATGTGAAGTGGACTTTGCTTGTTTTCATTTGGCATTACAGAGTAATAATCCTTTCTAAAACCATCTATAAAATGGTTTTATGGGTACTCCTACTTCTTAGCTTTATAATGCATTCCTAACAAATTAGACAAGCTCCTTCAGTCTCCCATTCTATGTTCTAGGGGCACCATCCGGGACATTGTCCTGAAGAAATTTGCTGGGCCCTATGACAAAGGCGAATACTCCCCTTCAGTGCAGAAGACACTCTACGATATACAAGTGATGTCCCTGAACCAGGTTCCTGAGGTAGGCTTTGTCACTTGCCATTCTGAGGACCGAGAGAAACTGTGTCTCCTGTCAGCTCTAAGGAAGAGTTGAGTGTTAAAATAGGAAAGTGGAAGACACATGGAAAGTGGCATCTGTTGTTGTTCTGAAGCTTGTTATAGCAAGTGAGAAGAGCGCAGAAAATGGAAAAATCTGCTCAACCTAAAAACACAGGCCGCTGCCACAGTGCTTCAGTTTTGTGGGAAATTCTTTTAGCTCCTTCAACCTACCACAGATTTAAACTTCAAATTCAGGCCACTTCCATGCCTTGATGGGGAGATAACTAGACAGCGGTTGTATGTTTCAAGGTATGAATGACAGATGTTGAGAGATTTAATCCATCCTTCCATCCTTCCTTCCTCCCATCCACTCACTCATCCCTCTGTCTACCCACCCACCCACCCGTCCATCTACCTGTGTATTGATATTTCTGGACACTGTGCCTCTGGCAGGACCCAAGGGATACAAAGATAAGCTAGACATGGTGCCCACACCCAAATAATCCATGATTAAGTGAACAAAGAAAGCAAGGAAGTTTTAAAAATATCAATAGTAGGTTATTATGGAAACACAGGGGAAGAGTCTAACTCAGGCATAAGGGCAGCACCAGATAGGTTTTCAGGAAGGACAGGGGTGTGCTGAGTCTTCAGAAACAAATAAGGGTAAGCTGGCTTTATACTCAATGGCAAGGGAGCAGGACAATGTGGAGATAGGAGATGGCATGACACAGACATTCACTTTCAAGGGCCAACCACAGGTGACTTGCTAGGAAGGAAGTATTTTCCTGTGTGCAGGCATATGGTGGCATCGAGTCAGGAGGACATTTACAGGCTTCTTTATTTATAGTCTATGCTCTCTTCAGGGAGCTACTGAGGGCTGCTGATGGGTCACAGCAAAGTATAGCATGGCAGGATTTGCATTCTACAGTGATCACGGGTAGCAGTGTGATAAAAAGCAGGACAGACCACAGGCTGGGAGTCTAGCGGGATGATGTTATAGAAGCATGGCTGAGAAATCCTGGGCCAAGACCGTGCTGAATGGAGAGAAAGAAGCATTGCCTGGACCAGAGGGACTTCCCTGCCTTGGCCTAGCACTGTAGCATCCTCCTTCAGGCTTTCCTCTGCCTGTGCCTTCCTGCACTGGGTAGAGTTGGTAAAACTAAGGCAGCAAACTCTCCAGGTGCTCATAACTCCCCCAGAATTTTTTACCCAGTAGCCTGGAGACTTTCCTAGAGACCTGCTTTGTCCTTGGAGGCTCCTGCCACTGGGGTGTACATTCTTAGGCCTAGAAGTGGACCAGAGACATGGATGTGGCTTGCCATACAAGGAGAATATCTACTCTTATGACCAGGAGAGAAGATGGGCTGGCCCAAGGTCTGGGGTGGGCTTTTCCCATGTCCTGTACAGCATCACAAATAGTCAGAATTTTAAATTACAACCTGACCTTATAAGTTTAACGAAAGTATCTTTGTAAATTAGAAAAATAGAGTATAGTTTACTCAATCTTTGTCATGTATATGGGTTTGCAGTTTGACACTTATCCTAGGGCCTCTATTAGGAATCATCCTGGGAACCTGAGCTTTTCAGAGATGGTTTTACACTGAGGGGAGAGGAATGTGCCTGCACCTGTCTCTTAGGAAGACTAGTCGGGGAACAGTGATTGGCAGCAGCGGAGCATGGGGGAATACCTTAAAGACACAATCATGGTCACAGGAAGTGGTCAAGATGGGTGAGGTAGATGCAGGAAGAGAGGCTCTCCAGTGCCAAGTGTAACATATGCTATTGTGGATTCCAGATGGAAGACATGGAAATCAGCCTGCCAAACATTCACTACTTTAACATCGACATGTCCAAAATGGGGCTGATCAACAAGGAAGAGGTAAGAGAGTTTTTAAAACATTGAAAGCACATTTCTGCCCCATCTCCATTCAGTTTCCTTGTCAACGTGGGACAATATCACTGCCTAAAACCTGCATCGGCTGCTGGCTTGGGGGAGTATTTATAGTTGTCACTGATTAGAACCCTCTTTAACTCCGGGTCTTTCAGTGCCTGAGGCTGAGTACTCTAGAAGTGGATGAGTGATTACGGAGGAGGGCTGTAAGTTGCAGGGAGGAACAAAAAGAAGGAACAGAGTGTGCCCAGGAAACAGCTCTAAGATCTCCTTGGGAAAGTGCCACGGAAGGTCGCAGCTGCATTATTCTTCCATCACGAGGCAGTGAGGAGAAGCAAGACTGTATTTTCATTTTCTTTTATCGTGCCCACCTTTTGAGGAAATAGCCAATTCAGGAGCGCACAATACACTTGGGAGAGATGAGAGTGTGTTTGTGCTACAGATGGCCAGAATGAGAAACTCGTGCTTTCAAAGGGAACCTTTGTTTCAGGAAATACACAGCCCTGGCTTCTTTTTAACTGTGACAATCAGATGGTCTGACTAGGCAGCCTGGAGCTCTGACTGGTAGCCCTGTGGTCACTTCCTGGGAGATCAGAACTGCCCCTGCCCCAGTGACATTTTCCGTGATAGGGACTTTGACCCATCTGCAGCATCATTTTGGGTAACTGTGATGAGTGAATGTGAGGGAGTAGGGAAGAGGCCATCTATGGATGGCCCTGCTGATGGACACCACATGCTTGGACGCACAAGGTTAGTGGAAGAGAAGCTCTTGCACTCTGGGACTTCGGTCCCAGAAGCCTTCCAACCCCTCTGGCCAGGGACCTGATTTCTCTTTTGCAGACAGTGCTGGTGGGATCCACTGGCTCTGCACCATCAGCCACATGTGAATGCTTGCTCCGGTGCTGGAAAACAAGCACGAGGCTTATGTATCCTGTAAGAGATGATCTAGGACCCTGACTGGCAGGAGAGGGAAAGTTTGGCTCCAAGTTCATTCAGCTGAAGGGACAGGCAACACTGTTTACCACAGAGGAAGGGGAGGATGGCAAAGGGCTGAGCTGTGAATGAGGACAGAAAGCGTTTTTGTGTGATTACTCACTGAAGGGCAGGACATGGATCTGAAACCAATCTTGGCCATGTCTGCCAGAGGCAGAACCAACGACAGGACCTGATGAACGCTCAGGTCACAGCACAGTCAAGAGGGTTTGTGAGGGGTCCACTGAGCTGTGGGCCCTACCCATCCCCTCCAGAGCTAGCAGTGGATGAGTCTTTGTGGAGAGGGTTGGAAGTTGCTACAGAAGAAGCTACAGAAGACAATCCTTCCTAGATTCCAGCAGGGCCTGGAAATAGGAAGCCTTGACTCTATAAAATAATAATAATAATAATGATAATAGTAATAATAAAGGACCTGTCCTGAGCAAAGTATCCTCACACTGAGGGCGACAGCTTTAGTCACACTTGGATGTTTATCCGTATGTGTACTATGTGAAGGCAACATACGAGAAGCAGGAAGCTGAGGCACGGTGACAACAGCTGTGGAGTGACAAGTGACACATTGGGAAGACAGAAGGACTATTTAACACAGCTGTCTGGATCCATTTAACATCACACTCACAGTCCTGGGGACCTCAGATGATCTTCAGGGAATGGCTGAGTCATAGCTATGGACAATGACTGATGTCCAAAGTGAATTATCAAAAGACGTCAAATTTCTTCATTACATTTTTGAAAGCAGGATTGTATAATGCATTTAGAAATATCTATATCGTAATGACTAACAAACAAAATGCTTCTGAGTGGCAGGTAAAATGGCTGGGTCAGTAAACCACTTGTTGAGTAAGCACGAGGTCCCGAGTTTGGTTCTCCGACACCATGTGAGCAGCCAAGCGCTGTAACATGTCAACAATGACAGTGCTGAGGAAGCAGAGACCGTAGGACCCCCGGAGCTCACTGGCCAGCTGCTCTAGCTGACCTGGTGAGCTTTAAGTTCAGTGAGGGACGCTGCCTCAAAAAATAAGGTAGAGGGCTGGGAGAAGGCTCAGCAGTAAGGGCACTTGATACACAGCCAGATGCCCCGAGTCAGAACCCTGGGACCCATATAAAGGTAAGAGAGATGCAGCTACACAGAATTTTCCTCTGCCCTCCACAAGAGTGATGTGACACATACAACCCCCTTCCCAGTTCTCTCTCTCTCTCTCTCTCTCTCTCTCTCTCTCTCACACACACACACACACACACACACACACACACACACGCACACACACACTCATACATATGATGTACACACATGCACATTCATACATATATACAGTAACCCAAAACAGCACATAAAACTCACAAAATTCCCATACTTTCTGAAAAACCAACTCATTCAAGTATTCCAAGGAAGATGAGGCACCGCTCGGTGTTTGCTGCAGAGTGCTCAGTTTCCTCCCTGACAACCGGCGACATTCTTGCTTTAATTCTGGATCATAGACAGGAGAAATCTCTGAATTTCCCTGTGGTTCCTCTACAGGTTTTGCTGCCTCTCGACAATCCCTACGGCAAAATCACTGGGACAGTCAAGAGGAAGCTAGCGTCAAGGCTGTGACGTGACGGCTCCAGTCAGTTGTGATGCTGGGGACCACTGTGTGTTCACCTGCAAAAGATTTCAACTTAGGATATTGATTGCTTTCTTCTGTGTGAAACAATTGCTCTCTTTGTTCCTAGTTAAACAGGGCATTTTGCGGATCCCCACATTATCAGGTACAACATACCTCGTGGCTGTGGGCAGTTTCCTTAAAAATCACTGGGTAGTGTTAGAAGAACCATAGTGATATTTATCCTTGTTGCTCTTGTATTTTTCTGCCTTAGAATCAGTCTTTAGAATCAGATCGTTAAGAAAATAATCATGAAGTAGGGGTGGCGCCACATCGATTAATCTGAACACAAGTTTAAGAAGCAATGATTGTTGTCATCCTATTGATATGTCTGGGGAGTGCAGAAAATATAATAAAATCGTGTGAAAAAACACCTTAGTGACTTCAAGTGACTGAATATTTGTGCTTTTAAAAACTCTGGCATTCAGACAAAAGCTCAGTATGGAGGGGGCCAGGTGGGCATGAAGCTCCAACTCTAGCTGAGGAGTTATTGGCATTTGGTGCTGCTGGAAGAAGGAAAGTCAGTTTTGTTTAAGGGTGTGGCAACCGGTATGTCAATCATACTGCAGGGCAGTTTCCATGCCTAGATGTAGTCAGATAAACCCAAACTGGCCTCAGAGAGAGAGGGAGAAAGAGAGAGAGAGAGAGAGAGAGAGAGAGAGAGAGAGAGAGAGAGAATGAAGTTGGGTGAGTGAGGAAGATCTAGGATGAACTGGGATGGGAGATAAATATGATCAAAATATATTGTATTAAGTTCTCAAATAATTAATAAAAATATTATCTAAAATAAAAAAATTGTACTTTAAGTTCCTCTACCCGTTAGTATGAGTAAAGATAAGAACATTTCTTACTGTTTTTTTTTAAAAAAGCCCTTTGGCATATATCATCGATGATTCATTTCCAGCCTAACAATGCTTTTATGACATTGCTGTATTGTTTCTATGATTTTTGCAACTGTAGAAGAATACTTAGCACATACTGGAATGTTAAAATAAGTATACATTGTTTTTCCTTGAATATTGGTGTGAAGAGCCACTTTTAGTGAGTGTTAAGCCAGTCAACAGATAGATGAATGACTATGCACATGGAAAGAAGGCTAGAACACACTTCTCTGAACATACCAGTACAGAGACCTATGGATAATGGGATTCATGGATGAGATTTGCTTTGGATCCTGTATGTTTCTGATTCTTCCAATTATGAATATCTATTTCTTTCATGATTAGAGGAATGTAAACATAATTGGTGGCTTAGAAATGGATAGCCTTGAGAGGTGGTTAGCTTTATATCAGTCTACTGACATCCATTGCATATATTCCACAAAACTTAAAAATGACAATTTTAGAAACCTACATATGAACAACTTATATGACTTTCCTGTTGGTACTTTCTCATTGGGACCACCAGCCCACAAATAATGACACAGAGATTTATTATTATTAATTATGAAAGCTTGGCCTTTAGCTTAGGCTTGCTTTCAACTAGCTATTATAACTTAATTAACAATAATTTTACTCTATGTTCTGCCATGTGGCTTGTTTCCTCATCTTTGTACTACATATCCTGCTCTCCCTGTGTCTTGCTGGTGAATTCTCTTCCTCTTCCTCCCTCTCCCTGGAAATCCCACCTATTCTCTCCTGCTGTAGGCAGACTTTCTTTGTCTTACCAGTAAGCTCTGTCCCACCAGCCAGCTCCCAAATAACAGCACAGAGACTTATTATTAATTATAAATGCTCAGCCGATAACTTAGGCTTGTTACCAACTAGCTCTTACATCTTAAATTAATCCATATTTTTTAATTTATGCTCTAACACATGGAAGTACCTTTCTCCAGCATGGCATGTTTATTTCTTGCTTCCTCTGTGTCCCCTGGGCTTCACTCTGCCCTTCTTCTTCCCAGTGTCCTTCAGTTTGACTCTCCTGCCTAACCTCTTCTTGTCTAGCTATTGGCCACTTAGCCCTTTATTAAACCAGTGAGAACAAAAAAATATTTACAGTGTACAAAAAGATTGCTCCACAGTACCTAGCTATTTGCCATTCAGTTCTTTAGGCAGAGAAACATCTTTACTATGTACACAAATAATCTACAACATTTCCCCCTTTTTGTCTAAATAAAAAGGAAAGGTATTAATTCTAACACAGTGAAACTATATACAATAAGAACAATTATCAAGTAAGGATTACATTCACAGCATCCAGTCCATATGTATTTGGTAGATTCAGAGAAAGGACTGTATTCTCTATCCTATCTTAGTCCAAAATTTTATACCTAAACCATTTTCTATCAAAACTTGTATTACCATCCTAAAAATATCTTTTTTAGATATTAAAACATTTTCTTAGATAAACCACTTAAGCTTTTATGTCTCTCAACTTTATACACTTGGCACCTCTTTTGTGAGTTTCTTTTCTCAATTTGGTAACAAGGAAAACTGTAACTAACTAGTCATCAGCCCCATAAAAGACCTGAGAAGGATATAATATACCTAGATAAACAGGAAGTACAGAACAAGCAACTTCTAAAACTATAGAAATGACAATCAATAAGAACTTGCAACTAAACTCCCTAAATGATGGTACACATCCATAATCCACCTAACTACCAAAAACCACCCATCCTACCTCTTAGAAATGTCGGTGTCATGTTCTCTAGACTGCTTCCTGCTCTCAGGGGGTAATAGCATTTTTAGGAGACCCTTAGGAAATTGGGGTAGCTGGGCAGTGGTGGTGCATGCCTTTATTCTCAGCACTCACTCAGTAGGCAGAGCCAGGCAGCTCTCTGTGAGTCTGAGGCCAGCCTGGTCTGCAGAGCAAGATCCAGGACAGGCACCACAACTACACAGAGAAACCCTGTCTTGAAAAACCAAAA